GAATGCATACAGTATGTCACAATCTGGAAAATGTTATATGAAATCTAATTTTTCTATGCTTAAGAAGTAACTGCAGATCCAGTTGGATAAACTTAAGATACAAGGGAAAAGACAAAAGAAGTCTTTTTGCATTACTTCAGTCTTCTTTCATGGTAATATTTACTCTTAAAAACTGCTGAGTCTGACTGTTTATATGCCTCATGTAAAAAGTAAACAGAGCTTTTTTCCCCCTCCACATGACTGCACTCTGGTCAGAAAATATTTTACAGGATCTCAAAAGAACTGAGGCATGAAGTTGGATCTCGATCAAACAACAAGTATTAGGGCAGACTAGGAAGAGACAATATCATGATTTAGGTAAAAAGGGAAACTGATCCTAGAAGTAAAGGGTATATTTACACGGGCTGAATAGAACACGTTGGAGCAGACTCAATTAATCAGGTCTGCTGGAGCGTTCTAATAAGAACGCTCCAGCATGCTGCAGCATCTTATGTATTCAGCATTCCCGCATTTCAAAACAGAGACCAGAGCGCTTTAACTAAAGCTTGTCAACCAACCTTTAATTAAAGCACCCCTGCCACCATTTTGAAATGTGGGACACTGAATACACGAGATACTGCAGAAGTTTTCATTACAGCAGTTCCCAAGAGCCGCTCTAATTAAAAGCACCCCCACCCCAGAGAATGTGTAAATGCCCAAACTGACCTGGATTTATAAATCATTTTGTCTGGAAATCACGGAATCACAAAAAATAGGGCTGGAAGGAACCTCAGGAGGTCACCTAACCAATCCCCTGCTCAAGGCAGTATCGTTCCTGTCTACACCATCTAGTCACTTAACTTGCTCTTAAAAACTTGCGAAGATAAATATTCTACAATTTCTCTAGGCAAACTACACCAATACTTAACCACCTTTATACTTAGCAAGTCCTTCCTAATATCCAATCTAAGTCTCTTTCTCTGCATTTTAAGATGGATACTCCTTGTCCTATATTCTGCTGCCACAAAAATAGTCTACCACTACCCATAACTACCCTTCATGTATTTGAAAGCTGCCATCAAACTCTCTTCTGTCTCCTATTCTGCAGGCCAAATAATTCCAGTTCTTT